CTCACACCATGCCACCCAACCTATAAATAATCTCTATAATAGAGTATTTTTTTGGGGTACAACTGATTCTGGGGAATCATTTCCTTGGGGGTGAAAATTAATTTTTTTAGCATATTTTTTATCTGCCAGCCTTTCAGAAGCTTTTTCACACCACGCCACCCAGCCGATAGATTGTCTCTATAATAGAGTATCTTTTTTAGGTACAACTGATTTTGGGGAATCATTTCCTTGGGGGTGAAAATGAATTTTTTTAGCATATTTTTTATCTGCCAGCCTTTCAGAAGCTTTCTCACACCATGCCACCCAGCCTATAAATTGTCTCTATAATAGAGTATTTTTTTGAGGTACAACTGATTTTGGGGAATCATTTCCTTGGGGGTGAAAATGAATTTTTTAGCATATTTTTTTATTAGCCAGCCTTTCAGAAGCTTTCTCACACCATGCCACCTAGCCCATAAATTGTCTCTGTAATAGAGTATTTTTTGAGATATAAATCATTTTGGGGAATCATTTTTTTGGGGTGAAAATGAAGTTTTATTTATATTTTTTCATCTAGCACCCCTTTAGAGATTTTCTCAGTATATGCTATTTAGCTCATTAATTACTTTCAATATAGTAATCGGTAAGGAAAACTCGAAGAAAGGTTTTGGGTTAACTCTTGTTCCTGCGAATTATATAATTAGGGTGGAAAATGATTCTTCCTATAGGGGTGCTTATTCTCGTGCATATATATTTATTGTTGCGAGCTGTTAGCTGTATCCTTCACAATCACAGTCTGGTCGAGGATGTCGACGCCACTGGTCATTTTTGTCTGCCTACTTCACACCGGTCAGCGTTTCCACATACCTCACTTTTTTCAGTTGCAGGTTATCTAACATGTCACACTTCCTCGTATTTGATCAGTTTTTGTTTAAATGTCATTTTAATACTATACGATTTGATTCGTCACGTTACTTTTAGGATCATTCATAATTTGAGACTAACCGTTTCGTCAACTAATTCATCTAGTATTAAATAGCAGATAATGTCCCTCTATTATCGGCTAAGACAATTAACGATCCTACGTAGAACAAGTACAGCAATCTTTAACATGAAAAAATAAACGAAAACAGGTGGACCATCGAGCTAAACATAAATACATAGACGTCCTATGTCAATCAATAGATATTTAACATAATAAGACACTTATTTATTTAGTGCCATTCGTCACGTCTTGGCCTTGTCTGTTTGTTTATTATTGTTATTAAGGCTGGTACATTGATGGGTGTTTATATTTATAGATTTGCAAATTCTGGTAAGACGATTTCCAGTTCCCAGTAAATAATGGATATGTTTTAGTATCGTCAGCAGTATTAATACCTATTGAGGCGGCAAAGGGCTAATTGCTCTGTTTTTTTTATGAAAATAAAAGATACCCTGTCATGCAATATTTATTAAATTGAATATGTGTATATTGCCTATATGTTTTCTTATATACTTATAACCTATAATTTTGGGATACAAAGACACACTGGCACGAAATTCTTCATATGGTGCGTTTTTTGCACTTCAGTTACTGCCAATGGTTTCTAGTTGCAAAATTTTATATAAAAGTTATATGAAAAGGCACTTATTTATACATTTATGGCATTAAGGTTTGAAAGTTAAAAATATGAAGAAAAATTGAACGTCGTGTCAGCGGAACTTGCGGCACGTCCTAACAACGGATGTGATGCAATGTTTGCCCGTGGAGTCCGTGGGATTAAAGCAGATTTAACGTCCAAAGAACCTATTCACAAAGTACAATATTTACCGGCCGGTCGTAGAGAATCGATGTTGATTGTGTATTAGGCGTATTAGGGCTTGAAATTCTCACCGTTTGTTGTGAAATATAACCTTATCTTTTCAATAGTATGCGCTACGTTTCTACTTATGCGATATGTTATAGATTCGTTTTTTATGCCACTGAAATAATCGTACTATCTTTTGAACAGTACCCGCTACGTATAAATGCGAGATGTTATATACTAAGTGACATATAAATCCGAACACCCAGTTTAAATGGTTTTATTTTAATAAAAGTTGGTGAATGTATTTATCTTACTGTAAATAACAAGTGAAAAAATTTTCAGCCTTATCAGTTGGACATTCCGGTTTTTATACTGCTTTTTTTTTTAATTCACTAACGCTCTAAAAATGAATATTTCAGCCGCAGTAAAGAATCAACGTTGGCTGATTTTGGTTCTTGACATCCTTTACGATCGGTTACGATGCCTAGAGTACGGAGACCTGTACGATTTCGTCAACTTAGTGAGTTTGATAGGGGCCGTATAGTGGGAGTTCGGGAAGCTGGACTTTCTTTTCGGGCAATTGCAGTTAGAGTGCAAAGAAGTGTAGACACTGTGGTCAGGTGTTGTCAGGCATGGCTTCGAGAAGGCCGTACGCAAAGAGCAAGGGGCACTGGACGCCGCCGTAGAACAACAGGCCGTGAAGATCGCCGCCTAAGATTATTGGCCTTAAGGGACCGTTTCTCCACTACCAGGTCCATTGCAAATGAATGGTTTGCAGAACACGGAAGACCTATTGGCATGCGAAGTGTTTACGGACGAATGAGAAGTTTTGGCTTGTTTTCATACCGGCCACACTGGGTCCTCCCTTTAACTCGAGAACACCGACGTAATCGCCTTGAGTGGTGCAGACAACGGTCACTCTGGGATCAGGAATGGAACAGTATTGTCTTTAGTGACGAGTCTCGATTTTGTTTAGGCATGCACGATGGTTGTGCCAGGGTTAGAAGGCGACGTGGTGAAAGGAGGAATCCACAGTTTTTTGTTGAAAGACATGTTCATCACACTGTTGGAGTTATGGTTTGGGGTGCTATAGCTTATGGTTCCAGGTCACCTTTAATCTTCATCAGAGGTAACATGAACGCGCAGCGTTATATCCACGAAGTTCTAGAACCCCATCTTTTACCCTATCTTGACACCCTGGCAGATCCAACTTTCCAACAAGATAATGCCCGACCACATGTTGCAAGAGTCACAATAGACTTCTTTCAACATAATGATGTCACATTGTTACCATGGCCACCAAGATCTCCCGACTTATCCCCAATTGAGCACGTGTGGGATATGATGGGTAGGAGATTGCTCAATTTGCAACGTCCTCCTCAGACTCTAGAAGAACTTCGAGAGGAGTTGGTGGTTGCCTGGAATGAACCACAGGAGGACATTGACCACCTGATCAGAAGCATGCCTAGGAGAATGCGTAGCACATCAGGGTGCATCCACACATTATTAAAGGTCAAAGGGCTTTAAAGCAGTGTAATCATTTTGAAATTTTATCATTTACTTATTATGCTTCATTAAGTACTTATACAAAATTTTATTAAAATAAAACCATTTAAACTGGGTGTTCGGATTTATATGTCACTTAGTATATATTCGTTATTTGTAATTTGTGCCACTGAAATCTGCAACGACCGTTGCTCTAAAATGAACCGAAACGACGAAATTGGTGCTCAAATCCTGCCATTTCAGTATTTTAAGCCCATTAAGTTATGCTCCAGTTTTGGCACCTTTTTGTTATGCCCCGCTTTTTAAACCACAAGTTGATACCGCACAACCTCAATAGTTTGCCTATTTTTAAACGTATATTTACTTATAGCATAATACATCTGCTACTATACTAAGTGACATATGAATCCGAACACCCAGTTTAAATGGTTTTATTTTAATAAAAGTTGGTGAATGTATTTATCTTACTGTAAATAACAAGTGAAAAAATTTTCAGCCTTATCAGTTGGACATTCCGATTTTTATACTGCTTTTTTTTAATTCACTAACGCTCTAAAAATGAATATTTCAGCCGCACTAAAGAATCAACGTTGGCGGATTTTGGTTCTTGACATCCTTTACGATCGGTTACGATGCCTAGAGTACGGAGACCTGTACGATTTCGTCAACTTAGTGAGTTTGATAGGGGCCGTATAGTGGGACTTCGGAAAGCTGGACTTTCTTTTCGGGCAATTGCAGTTAGAGTGCAAAGAAGTGAAGACACTGTGGTTAGGTGTTGTCGGGCATGGCTTCGAGAAGGCCGTACGCAAAGAGCAAGGGGCACTAAACGCCGCCGTAGAACAACAGACCGTGAAGATCGCCGCCTAAGATTATTGGCCTTAAGGGACTGTTTCTCCACTACCAGGTCCATTGCAAATGAATGGTTTGCAGAACACGGAAGACCTATTGGCATGCGAAGTGCTTACCGACGAATGAGAAGTTTTGGCTTGTTTTCATACCGGCCACACTGGGTCCTCCCTTTAACTCGATAACACCGACGTAATCGCCTTGAGTGGTGCAGACAACGGTCATTCTGGGATCAGGAATGGAACAGTATTGTCTTTAGTGACGAGTCTCGATTTTGTTTAGGCATGCACGATGGTCGTGCCAGGGTTAGAAGGCGACGTGGTGAAAGGACGAATCCACAGTTTTTTGTTGAAAGACATGTTAAACACACTGTTGGAGTTATGGTTTGGGATGATATAGCTTATGGTTCCAGGTCACCTTTAATCTTCATCAGAGGTAACATGAACGCGCAGCGTTATATCCACGAAATTCTAGAACCCCATCTTTTACCCTATCGTGACACCCTGGCAGATCCAACTTTCCAACAAGATAATGCCCGACCACATGTTGCAAGAGTCACAATAGACTTCTTTCAACATAATGATGTCACATTGTTACCATGGCCACCAAGATCTCCCGACTTATCCCCAATTGAGCTCGTGTGGGATATGATGGGTAGGAGATTCCTCAATTTGCAACGTCCTCCTCAGACTCTAGAAGAACTTCGAGAGGAGTTGGTGGTTGCCTGGAATGAGATACCACAGGAGGACATTGACCACCTGATCAGAAGCATGCCTAGGCGCGTTGGAGACTGCGTAGCACATCAGGGTGCATCCACACATTATTAAAGGTCAAAGGGCTTTAAAGCAGTGCAATCATTTTGAAATTTTATCATTTACTTATTATGCTTCATTAAGTACTTATACAAAATTTTATTAAAATAAAACCATTTAAACTGGGTGTTCGGATTTATATGTCACTTAGTATATATGTATTACGTACTGAAGTAACTCCGTTGATCATCCAGGCTAGTTCAATTCTAATCCAAGCTGTCGATGAGGCACATTAAATCTATCAGTACATATTACAGTACTTTCCACGAGTTCATCGCATCTAGACTATGAAGTCTCTGGTTGCGCTTACCGCCAGTTGTCGTAAATCGGCAACTTCCGATGAGAACCAGAATAGAAGCACTGGCAGTGTCAGTGTAATGACAGGCAAAGAGGCAAATTAGACTGGATTGGATTTTTGATCAAGACGTGGTCAGACGTAATCTACAGATTCGATTCAAAATTATCCAATATAGCGGAGATTCCTCCATTTATTGTGTGGAAACATCACAGCCAAATTTGGTATTAAGGATTTGGAGACTCCTCACTAACTTCGAAGGCCGCCCTAGACCATGAGGTAGGTGTCTTACCTTTTTGTTGCTGCCTCCCGGCCTATGTCCAGTTGCCATAAGACTATACTTTAGTGCATACCGCAAATACTGCATTTCTTATTTTAAAATGTAATATTAGGATGTAACTTTCACGGAAATATCATTTTTTCTTTAAGGAACTCTCTGCTTGCTATTTTATAGAACGTCAAAGTTGCATTTTTGGTGATAATACTCTAGAATAAACTACTGTTTTATACAATTTTTTTTTGCTTTTTGCACAAAAGGATGCTCTAAATTATAAGAATATAACATACACTGTATAGTACTAAAGAAAATAGGCGCGAAACTGTAAAAAATCGTTGTTTTTTGCAGAAAAAAGGTTCCAAACTGGCAGTGTTATTACACATTAGCTTATTAGCTAAAATAACAGTTCAAAATACGTAAATGAAGGTACTTGGTAAACTGTGTAGAGGTGTTGTGTTGTGATTTTTTAATGTCTTCTTGAAATTCCTTAACTATTTTTTTTCGAGATCATCATGAGATCAAAATTTTTGCGTTTATAAGAAATATTTGAAAGTACAAACAATTCTCAATGGCCATTTTATAACGTTCATTTATTGACAGATAAGATAAATCATGTCCATTTTTGCCAAGTTGAACTTTTTTGGGAGAAATACGTAATAAAAAAATGAGGTTATTTGCAAAATAAGTCTTAATTTATTTTAAATGGTTTGATTTATAAGAATTTTTCCCAATATTTACTGAAAACTAGATGAAATTTTGAACAGTATCCGTCTAATCAGTGGAAAATGCACCAGCGGCTTGCGTGACAAAAAATACAAAAGGCACCAGCGGTCACTTGATATAAAAATACCCAACTTCGATTAGTTGATTTGAATCACGTCGCCAGGTCCACCCAACATGAAATCGTCAAAAAGTATAGTTAAATAGAGATCTACGACCATTCCATCGAATCATCAAAAAACTTGCAATGTTCTTCTTTGTTATGTTTTCATTATTTACTAACTGGCAACAGCTACTTTTTCGGTAATTTCTCAGAAATATCACATTAAATTATGTATATTTTGTGACATCAGATTCACTTTAAATAATTCTTCAAGTACATATATACAAAAAGTAAATAGATTATAGCTATAATATAGGAAAAACAATAACCGAAGTATTTTTGTGAAGGGCATACGGCATTCTTCTGAAAAGTATATTTATATAGCTAACGGTATTGTAAGGCACGAGGTACGAGGTGAATTTAGTACAGTAAAAGCAGCCGACCACACCTCTATATTGCATTTTCATGGCAATCCTGTGCCGATTGCACATTTTTGCGCCAGTTGTATAAGTAAGAATTTGACAAACCAAATCAAGGTACATTACTATCGATGTTTTGGCAACATCGCAACTAGATAGGGAAATCATCATCAGTGTCGGATTTAGAGGGGGGCGCCCCCCCTAGACGTCTGACACTTGCTTTTGTAATCTAACACCATTGTGTTACTTTCTGACACATCATGGCGACAGAGAAGCATACTAACTATAAGTTATAGCTGTAGCAACTGAGGATTGCGATTTTTTGGTATCCTTTGGTATTCCAAACGCTACCCCTCTTTGACATCACTTACGTTTACAGCACAATTTATACGTATACAGGGTGTACAGTTAGTAGTGGATCAACGGAAGTCAGGTGATAGAGGTCCTCAAAACCTATCGAATGAACCCTTACATGTGTGGTCCGAAATTTTATAGTTCAGGAGATATTTGCAGTTTTGTGAAATTTCGAAAAAAAAACGGGATAATGAACTTTCAATCGCAATTACAGCTAAACCATTAGGTTACGGGATGTGATTTTTTTGAGATGAGATGAATGGTTAGTTTTAGCAAATGGTTATGTCACTAATTAGAAGTCAACGCAAAAAATCTTTAATTCATTTTTTTGTGAATAATCGTCCATCCCTCAACTTTGGAGGGCGGTAAAAAGATTGAGGTTGTATTTCATTATTCATTTTATTGTAAAAACTATTTCTATCCATGTAGCATAAACCCTGAAAATTTCATCTTGCTTCGATTTATGTATCACGTCACATTCGTTGTTGTGATACGATAAACGTAAGAAACGCAATAGAATCCTATACCACCTACAAGTATAGAACCTATTGTGTTTAGCCGCTCTTTATGGCGATTTACCGACAAATGTGGAAGATAATTTATTTTATCTGACTTTCAAAGAACATGTTCGAAATGGCCTCCATTATTTTCTATACACAAGCAACACCTTCTAATAAAATTGACCTTTAGTCTTTGAAATGAATTTGCGTTTTCCATAATTTTTATTTTTGCTTCATCAATTTTCAGGCTCACTTGGTTGACATTTATATATTCAGATGTATAGATTATCCCCGTATAAAACCCCCATATAAAGAAACCTAGAGGATTTTAATCTGGTGACCTTGGAGGCCATCGTATGTGTCCACCTCTACCTATCCAACGCCCAGGAAAGGCACTGTCTAAGTAGTTCCGTACATCCCGTGCAAAGTGGCATGGGGCACCATCGCATTGAAAATATATGCGACTGCGAACGACCAAAGGTACATCCTCTAGCAGCTCATGCAAACTGCTCTGTAGAAAAGCAAGATATGACTATTCAACCTGGCGGGCAATTCATATGATCCAATTAATTTTTTGTTGAGTACTGACGTTGAAAGCTGCGACGGCGAATAGCGTGTAGATTTTCCACGCTCCATGAATAGACATTATGCATGTTGAATATTCCATCTCGGTTAAAGTTGGATTCATCTGTCCATAAGATCCTGTCGAAAAAAGTTTCATCCTGTTCGCACCTTCTCAACATATTCTCACATAATTCATCCCGTTGTACATAGTCGCTTGGAAGCAATTCTTGTACTTTCTGTGCATGGTAAGGATGCATGTTATCCGAGCGTAGTGCACTGAAGTATGGGGGTTCGGGCAATGGCTCTGGTACTTATAAAGGAATCTCCCTCGGCTGCTTCTATTATATCTTCTATTTCTTCTGGGCGTATCTTCCGCGCTCCTAGCTGACGAGTAGTGCCTAGTATGCGGCTCTCCATAAACGCGTTATGGACGCGTAAAAAAGCGCGGTAGTCGGGATATACCGCCGGTTGTGGCCCACCTCTTCTAACCACTTACTCCCGATACATGCGAGCAGCTGCCTGATCATTTCCTAGGGCAGCATCATGATAGTAATCCATTTCTGCATAAATTAGGGGAGAATATGACATGATTCTACTCAGATTGCGTGACTTAGTAATTTCGGTCAAAATTCATGAAGTCGTTTCGGGGCCCTACTGAGCGGGGCCGTGGCAAATGCTTGTTCTGGAAGTTGTTGTATCCAGTATACAACTTCTTCTCGTTTAAGTGAGTCTTTAGACTTTAGGTCTATTTAATATCATTAACACGTAAAAAGTAGGTGGTAGACAAGGACCGGTCGACCGAGGCGGTACCACCCGCTAGCTTTTACCGCATGTTTCCACACCTAAGTCGTTTATCTTCCAAAACAAAGAAATTAATGATGATGGATCCCCCGAGCACTAAGAACTCCGGACGTAAACTCAGTCCACTCTCGGAATGTCCGGGTGGAGGGTGGGCTCGAGGGAACAACATCGAAGATAAAATTTGTTTTTCGAACAACTGCGGGATGAACAGCAACATTGATGCTGTTCATCACTACCTGCAATCCAATCGTCCCGCCGTGCTTTTCTTGGCGGAGACAAAAATCTCAGAGTCTGCACCGATTAACCATCTTAACTTCCCAAACTACTAGGTGCACTCCAATCTGAGAAAGAACGGGGGAGTTGTGGCTTTTGTCCGCAGCAGTCTTTCCTGCTCCAGAGATGTTTCTTTGGAATCAGGCCGGAAGGACATTCTGTGGCTTCGCCTCAACTCCAAAACATCACCCAAATTTATTTGCTGCCTTTATCGCTCTCCCTCGGACCATAACTGGGATGACCTACTCGAATACCTCGCCGTCCAGATCGACTTCCTGAACATCAATCACCCCGCTTCAGAGATAATTCTTCTCGGTGATTTCAATGCCCATAAATGAGCTTTGGTCGGGCTCAAACAAGACCGATGCAGCAGGTCGTGCAGTCGAAGCGTTCGCTCTTACCCAAGGGCTGACTCAGCTGGTGACGAGCCCTCCTTTTTTTCCCCGCGTCTCGTCACACGCCAGTAGCCTGTTGGATCTCTTTCTGACCACGCATCCTGTCCCTTACAGCACTGCTGTCCTGTCCCCCCTGGGTAACTCACACCACGGTGTTGTGGAGGTTAGGTTTCGGTCAGAACCCGCTGTGGCAGCAGAAACTCGTACAGGCCGCAAAACTTGGCATTACGGACATGCCGACTGGGAGGGGCTTAGAGACTTCTTCTCTAGCTTTCCTTGGAGAGATGTCTATTTCACTGACGCGGATGCGTCGGCTGTCTGTTCTTCGATAACCGAAATTATCCACGTCGGAATGGAGGAACACATCCCTCACACTGTGAAAGTGCCTAAACTAGTGTCCAACGGCTGGTTTAACAAAGCGTGTGACGTAGAAGATCAAGGCACACAGGACCTTCTTACAAAACCCCACTATAGAGAACAGACAAGCCGACGTCGAGTCCAGAAACAAAAAATAACGAAGAGGTTCGCAATGCCAAAAGCCAGCACGATATAAAAGTTAGGCACAGGGTAATGTCGCAGCGCAATGGCAGTCAGTCTTTCTGGACGCTGGCCAAGCAGATTGAAAAGAACTTCTCACACAGTAGCCTTCCACCACTTACATGTTAGGATGGAACTATTTTATCCGACTCAAAGGCCAAGGCGCAAGTGCTAGCCAAGATCTTTGTTGCTAACTCCACCATGGACGTTCCCTCCAACGCCCAAGTGCCGTCAATTCAAGGGGTTCTCTACACTATGCGGGAGGTAACATTCTGGCATAAGTCCGTAAGACGAGCGCTCTTGTCGCTCGACATCAACAAAGCTTCTGGTCCGGACTTTCCATGTCATTTCCTGCCATTGTACTGAAGAGGTGTGCAGCGGAACTTGCTCCAGCTCTTTCGCGTCTCTTCTAGATATGTTATGAATCCGGCACCTTCCCAGAAAGCTGGAAATTTGCTCATGTCATCCCAAAAAAAGAATCTAAGACCGCAAACTTCCATCCTATCGCCTTCCAGAAAAGCTTGGCAGATGGGTGGCTAACTGTATCTCTGGCCGCAAGATATCCGTCGTAATTGACGGGCTCTTCTCTTCATCCTACAACGTCAACGCGGGTGTTGCCCTGGGATCGGTCTTGGCTCCGACACTGTTTCTCTTACATATCAACGACCTCCTTTCCTGCACGATCAACCCAATCCACAGCTTCGCTGATAACAGCACTTTACATGCAGGAATTCAGAGTGACAAGCCGATCTCTGCCGCTGAGCTGGAAAGAAGAAGACTAGCGATGACTTCCTCTCGGACAAGAGACCTGGAGGCTATCACTGCTTGGGGACGCAACAATCTTGTACAGTTTAATGCTTCCAAAACACAATACTGTACTTTGACCAACAAAAACCGTCCTAGCGCTCATCCGGTTTCGATGGATGGCCGAGTTCTGCCAAAGAGCCATTCCTTTCGATTGGTCGGATCCAGATCACCGAGGACCTGATCTGGCACGAACACATTTCGTCAATAGCAGCAGATATGCTGCGAAAAAGCTAGGCTATTTGTTTAGGGCTAAGAAGTACTTTTCTCCGCATGACCTTCTCACTCTATACAAAGCCCAGATAAGGCCTAGCCTCGAGTATTGCTCACACATTTTGGGTGCTGCCGCCCCGACTACATTGTCCATGCTCGATGCTGTCCAGAGGAGGGCGGTCCGACTGATCGATGACTCTTCTCAAACAGACAGTCTCGGGACCCTTTAGCACCGGCGGGCCGTCGGCGATCTAGCTCTTTTCTACCGCTACACCAACGGGCTTTGCTCGTCAGAGCTCTCTTTCATATTGCCGAAGCGCGATGTGCCTGCCAGGCAGACCCGCCTGACTCTGGCATCCCATCCTAACCGTGTCGAACTTCGTACATCTAGAACTGGCCGATATGACCGCTCCTTTGTCCCGAGGGTGTCGAGATTGTGGAACAATCTACAAGAGGAAGCTTTTCCCAGTTCTACTAACCTTAGGCAGTTCAAAAATCGTATTAACAAAATTTCTTTGGGATCATCATAGCATTTAGGCTTCTGCCTGCGCGGCTTCTTCGATATAAAAAAAAACTTGGAATGCAGAGTTGAATGCCCAAGCTCATTAAGCTGATTTGGCTATTTGCGTAAAGAATCCGCCATTTTGATCTTACAAAATCTAACAGTACTTTATATGTCAAAATTCATGAAGTCGTTTGGGCTGTAGCTCGTAAAATAGAATTTCTTGTTTACATGTATAGATACCCCTGCGTCAAACATACAGATTTTTTAAGCTGAAATTTTCAAGGTTTATTTTACATGGATTGAAATAGTTTTAACAATGAAATGAACAATACAATACAACCTCAATGTTTTATCGCCCTCCAAAGTTAAGGGATGGAAGAGATTTTTCACAAAAAAATGAATTCAAGATTTTTTGGGTAGATTTCTAATTAGCTCTGTAAAAAAGTAGCATAACTATTGCTAAAACTAAACATTTAACTCATCTCAAAAAAAGCACAGCGCTAAACCTAATGGTTTAGTTGTAATTGTGATTGAAAGTTCATTATCCCGTTTTTCTCGAAATTTCGCATAATTGCAAATATTTCCTGAACTATTCAATTTCGGACCACACATATAGGGGTTCATTCGATAGGTTTTGAGGCCCTCTATCACCTGACTTCTGTTGATCCACTACTAACTTTACACCCTGTATATACGAGTATTGTGACTTGTGACAAATCTGACTAAAATATTAGCTATATAGATTGCACTTAAAAAGTGATTTATGTTCTGTTTGTTGCTCAATAGTAATTTGAAAAGATTGTAAAGCTTGACTGATCTTGTTAGGGCTTGGTGTTGCAGCGAAGCTCTATGTTAGATGAATGCCTAAATTGGAAATAGACATTTGTGAGATTTGTTTAGCGGTGCGCCTGTGGCATGTCCAGAAACTGCGTCAATCGATGATCAAAGTCAATACCACACATCCCGCATCTCTTCCCGCGTATGTGTCTATGTATGTTGATATATTGAATTCGTTTAAATCACAGGCACATGTTTCTTACAAACATATATTATCAAAATAATTACGATCTAACAGATCTAACAGATATAGCTTTTTTCCAAAGATTTCAAACATTTTTACATGCTATCAACTATGCCGTAAATCTAAGTTCGACAACGGAAGTCTGAAAAATAACTTCAACATCTATATTGAATTTCAAAAAATAATTGTCTGTACCTACTGATATTTTTATCACCTGCTGATATAATAGAAGTGCTTGATTGTGTTAAGTATTTGCACCATTTACTTGATTTGTTTAAGGGACAGCTCAGAGTCTTAATCCTTAAGTTTAGTACACACTAGTAGACCCCGTTGCGCAACTTGTCGATAAGCAGTCTGGAGACGGTCTCAAGACACGATCAACAGATGGTCTGTAGACATCCTTCTTTGTCTCTTCTAGCGTCCATACGATAATGTGAATTTTTCGATTTCATGTCATGTCTCGGGGTGCCTCAGACTGTTTTTTTTCTGTTAACAGTTTTTTATGTTTAATCTTTAATACTATTACACTAGGTAATTATAAATGTCACGTACTTATTTTGTTCTCATATAACAAAATATTGCTTTTCTGAGGATTTCTGAGCATTTTCAATGTTTTTTTTGTCGCGCTGGCCTTGACCAGATAGAGCACAATGGATTTAAGGGGCAATAATAGGATAAATGCCAGAAGTTCCACTGAGGTTGAAAAATGACCAGCCCCAAATATCGTTTGCGCCCCTCCCCCCCTTGCCGAAATCCTGAATCCGCCCTTGATCATAATAGTGATGGTGGTGTAGTGATGGGAATATTTATCTGAAATAAAATAAATGACTAGTTAACAATTTTCTATTTTCATCATTAAAATAAAGCAAAATTGCATTATTGCGATGAACAGTGTCACAGTAATATACAATGTATGTTATATTTTTATAATTTTAAGTAATCTTTTGTGTAAACAAGAAAAAGCAGCTTATAAAGCAGTATTTATTCTATACCACTATTATCACCCAAAATGCAACTTTGAAATTCTATTAAATAGAGGGTTGCTTAAAATATATATATATATATATATATATATATATATATATATATATATATATATATATATATATAACAACAAGTAGGAAAATAATGGGCAAAATCCGCAAAAAGGAGGAAAGTCACACGTCGTTTTTTTCCCTCCAACTTCGTTTCCTAAGGTTACACCCATATCCGGATGTGTGGGCATGTGTATCTACTTTTGTAGTTTCATATGTGCATTCATTTCGGGCCTGATGAAGCCAACCAGCAGAAATACGTACGGCTCGGGTTACCTATCCTATTTTCTGCTCGAATCCACTTTCCTCCTTTTTGCGGATTTTGCCCATTATTTTCCTACTTGTTGTTATATACTTTTCTCCGCATGATCATATTCTCTTTATATATATATATATATATTCGGACAAGTTACATCCTAATCTTTCATTTTAAAATAAGAAACGAAATATTTGCGATATGCGCTAAAGTACGTTATAGTTAAGCCCTAGTTGCTTTAGTGATGCTCATGCTTAGCTTTTGTTCGCAGGCGTTAAACTACACCTTAAACCGAACCTCAAATGTTGGATCTTAGACCTTGGGTCTCAAAGCTTATATCCTAGCGCCTATCTCTCATCGCTTTTCTTCATTCTGACTGAAATTGCTCATTTAACAAGCTTCACCGCAAAGTCAACTGCCCTGCTGCATCTGATATTGTGCTTGAAACCATCAGTCCTACATGTTACTAGGCCAGAGCATACTACAACTGCTTCAGACAACTGAGCCCTGCTTGAGTTACAGCTCAGAGGGTTGAATGTCATCTGAGAAGGGATACCACCAGGTGCAGGCTGGCAAACTACAGGTGGGATTAGTCTAAGCTTATTGTGTGTTATTCCGGCTTTAGTCCAGAAGACTTTTGAACTCTAAAACAACAGTTTAGTTAGCTCTAATGTAGAAATATTGTAGAGATTATTTAGATAATATCTTGTGTCTAGAGTATAGGTATACTTACTGGTAAGTTAGCACTCTTCTTATTAGTTTTTGTGTAGGGAGCAACCTGAATAGTAGGCATTAGGCCTTATTGAGTTACATTTCACTCACTTTGGTTTACGAAAGAACCTGAGGGAATGTAAATAGGAAAAACATCCCATTGGTTCGGAAAAATGACCAGAAATACCTTCAAAACTCTAAAAAATCCCACAAAAGTGAAAACACGCGTAGTTGTAGCTTAACACCCCCTTTAGATATATCTAGCATAATACGCATTTCAATAGCACAACTCTGGGGTCTGATTAGAAAAAACTACCATTGTTTGGGAAAAATGTCAAGAAACATCTTCAAAACTGCAAAAATTCCCACAAAAGTGAAAATACGCGGGGTTCTAGCACAGCACGCCCTTTAGATATCTCTGGCATAATATTCAGTACAATTTCAAAAACAGAACTCGGGGATGCCATTAGAAAAAACTACCCTTGGTCTGGAAAAATGTCAAGAAATGCCTTCAAAACTGTAAAAATTCCCACAAAAGTGAAAACACGCGGAGTTCTAGCACAGCACCCCCCCCCTTTAGATATCCCTAGTGTAATACTCAGTACAATTTCAAAAGCAGAACTCGGTTATGTCATTAGAAAAAACTACCCTTGGTTGAGAAAAATGACCAGAAATACCTTCAAAACTATAAAAATTCCCACAAAAGTAACAACACGCGGACTTCTAGCACAGCACCCCCTTTAGATATCTCTAGCATAATACTCGGTACAATTTCAAAAGCAAAACACGGGGTGCCATTAGAGAAAACTAGCCTTGGTTGGGAGGAATGTCGAGAAATACCTTCAAAACTGTAAAAATTCCCACAAAAGTGAAAACACACGGAGTTCTATAACGGCACCCCCTTTAGATATCTCTAGTGTAATACTCAGTACAATTTCAAAAGCAGAACTCGGTTATGTCATTAGAAAAAACTACCCTTGGTATTATTATTGAGACAGGGCGGTACTCAAACTTCCAAAGGGCTATAACTTTGTTACTTTAATTTTACCAGAAAAATGGTAAAGGAAAAAAACATTTCTTTTGATCAGATCTACTCACTGTTAAAATAAATGACTCAACTTCGAAGTCACCCTGTATATATACAAACTTAATAATTTTCTAATGACATCCCCGACTTTGGCTTTTGAAATTGTACAGAATGGTATGCTAAAGATATTTGAGGGGGTGCTGCGCTAGAACTCGGATGCGTTTTTTCACTTTTGTGGGAATCTTTAGAGTTTTGAAGGTATTTCTCGTCATTTTCCCCAACCAAGGATAGTTTTTCTAATGGCACCCCCGAGTTCTGATTTTGAAATTGTACTGAGTATTACGCTGGAGATATTTAAAGGGGGTTCTGAGCTAGAACTCTGCTTTTTTCACTTTTGCTCCGCGCTTTTTGGTTTTGTACAGTCTCAAGTGAGTTGGTGATATTAGTTTACGTTTTCTTAGTTTAGTTTTTTCTCAGAACCCCCAATATCAGTGTTTAAAAATAATTGAAAAATCATTGATCATTGGTTGCATGAATGTGTGAGGCTTACAGTGCTGGAGTGCCATGTACATCCCAGCGACCTTAACCACCTCTGAAACCAGCATCAAAGTGGGTGATGAATAAACGGGGAACATTACGATTAGACGCGGGGTCAAACAGGGGGATCTACTGAGCCCATTGTTATTTAACATGGTTATAGACAAGCTGCTGAGACGGATGAATGACGGGAACAGGGGAGGCACGATCCTTCCTGGAGTCAAGGTCATCGCCATGGCGTTCGCTGATGATATCATCTTACTGGAGGACGCTGAAATTAATCTTCCGCTGGCGCTCGGTGAAGTAGTAGAGTTTGCGAAGTCCAAGAACATGGCCTTGAACCCTGGGAAGTGTTCGACCATGGTGGTTGGATTGGTGCCACGGAAAGATTATTTACTTAAGATTGATGAACGTCGTGTGGCCATGGTGACGGAGGTTAATAGCTCCCGCTACCTCTGACACGAGGCGTCTCTCGGTGAGATAATGAGACACTCACTCACTAATCTTCGCCTATGTCTGTCTAACCTGAAAAAGTCCCCTCTAAAGCCGGATCAGAAGCTCACTATCATTAAAAATCGTATTGTAGCGTTTTTCTGGGTTCTTTCGGGTGTGGATTAAAACACAGGATTCCGCAAAAAGAAATGCACTAATTTATTTAACTTAATAGAACATTTATGTACACCACTATTTATGTCTGACTAATTCTTATGTCCCATTGACTGCATTATACTCCACTCCGCTCTGCTATTCTACCGTATTTAGTACTTTGCTTCCATCTCCCGGCAGCCGAGTTATATATAGTTCCCATTGCTGCTTCGAGAAAGGTCTGGTGAACCACAAAGCGGCATCTAGAATATTGGAGGTCCCGTGGCGTCGATCTAGAAGGTGAGTCACTGCCAGGGTCCTCACAGACGCCGCCAAGCGGCCTGTGCGGTCGTGGTTCGCGTAAAAGCAGAGATCGGCCATGAAGCTCTGGCGGGTAGGAGACTCGCCCAACAGATGGCGCCAACAGTACTATTTTTGTCACAGTATTATCGCCAAGCTGTTTTAAGGTCTCCAAACACCGAAGGTATAGGGGAAAGCCTTCGGTTCGTGGATCGCCTGATAAATGGAAGTGTTATGGCGGTTTTACACCTCTCAGTGCATACGCCGGACGCTGGCCTTTATGCGGTAATCCGCGATGAAGGCCTAGGGATCCAGCAGTTGAGACTTAATGTTCCACGGGTGTTCCTGAGCAGACTTGTTAAGCCGCTCTAAAACAACGAAGACCGGGCACTGATGGTGGCGCTGCAGAGCGACTGCACTCATGAACTCATGCACAGGTTGGACGGACTAGTGGGGGTTGTCCCTGTGGTCCAGCTTTGGAGAGAGCGACTGAGGATATCCTCAACTGCAGCGGAGAATGCGTGCGATGACTCAGCCAGCCGCTCTTGGCCTCAGGAAAAGCTCAAAGACTGGACCGGAAGGGAAATTAAATTAATATCAATTCATTGTAACTTATGTGACTGTTCTATTTACTGACGTGATACTTATACACTTATTTGTTATGCCGTCCCGTTTATAATAATGGGTTATTTACGTGTTGTATATAATTATGGTGTTGTAGGCCGCTGCCAACATATGAAACCAGATACGTGTTTTACACATTAGAGAGGAATGCGTATTGGAAGAGAGGCAGAATGCTAGGGAGCGAATGAGGCGTGTTTGGGGTGACCTCAGGCCGCAGTTGAGAATGCAAAGATGAATGACAGGGCATCTGAGTTAGGGAATGAATGGGCCGAAAGAGTGGTGAGGGATAAGTGAGGGGTGACGCTCAGTGGATTAATGCCGCATGGATTTATTGCTTGATTTCTTTAGTACTCGGTTATGTTTTCTTGTAAATAATGTTTTAGTTTGATTTTTGAGATAATGTTAGGTTTTCTGTAAATAATGTTCGATTTTGTTGGATTAGGTTTTCTGCAAATAATGTTTAAGTTTGATTTTGTGGGATTAGGTTAGGTTTTCTATAAATAATGTTTAAGTTTGATTTTGTAAAATAGGAATCCCCCAATAAAAAAATGAAACAGTAGATATGACTCTCTCACGTAACGCGGGGTAGATATGACTTCCTTAAGGTGACGCGGGAGTAGATAAATGACTCTCTGTACGCCTCCGCTGCGAATAAAATGTGCTATGCAGGATGTTCGCGGGTGGAGTCTCTCTGCCACGTCCTCCAGCAGTACCCTAGCACCCACTGGGAAAGGATCAGGCGGCACAATGAGGTGGCGAAAAGATCGCCAAACACGACCGAGTTAGGGGGTGGACCACCCTAGAGGAGCCCTACGTACGACACAGGGATGGGATCTTTTTTCAAGCCAGACATGGCTATTATGAAGGGAGACCGCGTCGTCGTGGCGGACGTGGGGATCAACTGGGAGGGTAACATCCCCCCTCAAAACAAATATATAATAACAAAAAGGGGGTGTACGATAACGCCAAGTTTCTCGAGGCTGCTCGGGAATTATGGCCGAACAAACCCATCGAGGTTCACGCCATAATTCTTGGGGCTCGGGCCCAGGTGTTGAAGTGGGGCGGCAGTACATATATATAGTATATATATATATATATATATATATATATATATATATATTTAAGTTGTTGTGGACCGCGGCCAATATGCGTGTTCATTTTAATATGTGTTTGTGTGCCTGTGTTGGCTGCGTCGTCTTTTAATACCTATATGTATGTGAACCCGTCCCTAATTTATTATTTTAATTATGTGTTATTATATTAGTTTTAATTAGCAGTAAACCTTGAAACACCTCTCCAGATTGTATAACATAGACTTAACGAAATGTTAATGTATCTTAACCCCAGAAGAACGGGGTACATGTGTTTATTTTATTTGAATAAATATTTTACATAGCGCGGTGGAGCGTGTCTCGGTTAGACGAAGCGCGGGTAAACGGAGGGAGTAGATATAACTCTCTTGGCTCTCGAGTCACAAGAGAGGAAGCATCTATGCAAACCATTTAACCAGCTCCAGCTGTGTTATGAGCTACGTTGGCGTCTTTTTTAAGACTGTCCGCGTTCCTCGACGACTTTGGTTTGTGTTCTTGTGGAGCTTGTAGCTCAATCGGGAAGGTTCCGGATTTTAATTCAACCGAGAGTCGGGCGATGTGCTATAATGGTACGATGGTTAATTCCCGAGTCGGACGCTTTTACCGCGAGATTGACCCAGGCGAGAGTTCTCGGCGCCGGTCCCACCACCAAATGACCAGATTTACCCCTTCCCCACCCGCAACAACCTAAAGCGGGCTTATGGACTAGGGTAGGACAGACACAACGTTGGCTATGCCCGTCAGCGGCGCCAGATCCTCCTCGTACCATTGCACGACGTGCGACTCCGCTTTTTCGCCAGGTACACAACGGAGACGACATGTTATGGGTAGGGCTTGTGGCGACAAGCTTGAGTGCAAGCACTGCCCGCAATGTTTCGGCAGTTGCAAACCGACACGCAGATCTTCGCGATCCCGTGCCTGAATCAGAGAACTTACAGATCATGGCCGGCATCGAACCTCAAAATCCATCTGGGCATATAAATAAACGTATGGCTGAAGTAACTGGTCTAACAGTAGACCAGATACGAGGCAAGAGGAAGAAATCCGACTACTAGAAATATCTAGAACTGGCGAGGAGGAACCTCCAAGTCCCTTGGTAGTCGGAAAACCACAAGATTGGTGGTCCCACCAGCTCTTGCCCAGGGTCGCGGTACTCCCACTAGGTGCAACGAAACGCCCATGTCGCCTTCGCACAATACTGTAACAAGAATAAATAGTACCGATGGCGTCATCTGTTGAGGGACAGCGCCTGACTCTCCTACTCGCCAGCTGCTTCATGGCCGATCTCTGTTGGGGAACGGGCCAGCAACTCTCCTTCGGTGGCGACATCTGTCGAGGACCGTACCAGTGACTCGCCCTCTAGATCGACCCGAAGTGAGCTCGAATATTCTAGTCTGCCGCTTTATGGCTCGCCTGACTCTTCTCGACCCAACGATGCAGACTATATAACTCGACGGCGACGGCCGGGAGAGGGGAGCAGATTAGAGTAGAGCAGAGTGGAGTATAGTTCAGTCATGAGCATAAGAATTAGTCAGACATAAATAGTGGTGTACATAAATGTTCTATCTAGTCAAGTTAAATGAATTAATGCATTTCTTTTTGTGGAATCCAGTGTTTTAATCCACACACAAACCAGGCGCGGATCCAGGGGGGTCATGACCCCCCAGGTGAATTTAGTTCGACCACCAATTTTTAAAGGTCCAAATCTCTTAGACAAATCTGTAATGCACATAATAGATGTCGTACTGGTATTTTATACTAAACACTGGCAACACTGCATCCCTCAACTTTGATTTAACTGCTCATAGATGATAGCGCAAGACCGGTTGTCTATGCGGTCAGCTTGATGTAGATATAAATGAAGTAGTGACCCTGCGAACGAATCTGGGTGGTTCAATACTGTTCACATCCTCAACGAGCTGCTGAGGGACTGTTCGAGAATGGAATGGTCGTTACGCAGCTGGACGTATTCAAAGCATTCGATACCGTGCCGCACCAAGCTATAAACACGCGTTATAGCGCAAAGGTTTTCCAGAACAGGTGGTACGTATTGTGGAAAACGCATATGAGGATGTGACAACAATTATCGAACTTGATCAGGCGCCTGTCAAAATACGCTTCCATCGAGTGGTCAAGGAAGGTTACTCATTAAGTCCATTGCTATTAATTCTTTTTTAGCACTTACTAGATAAGCTGGGAAGCAAACCTGGGTATAAAATCGATTAAGAGACGCAGATATCATCCTTAGCATTTGCCGACGATCTGGTTTTAGTAGCGCAAACGGTACTACATGCTAAGAAACAGCTAATAGGCACGAAATCTCCAGTCTAGGTATGAGATTGCTGCAAATAAATGCTTCTTCCGTGTAATTCGCACTAAAGACTCCTGGTACTTAGCTGACCCAGGTCTTGTACTCGACAGTGGAGAATAAGTAATACCTTGTCCACCTCGGATGTAAGTTGTCCCCTTGGGTTGGGTCACAACAGATTGCATACGATCTAACCTTGCTTCAGCTCTCAGTCGTGTCCAACGGCTGAAGTTAAAGCTACATCAGAAGGTAGACTTAACCTCCACCTATGTAGTTCCTCACTACCTATACCAGTTGTCCATAACAAAGCTGACTATGACACAGATACGACTGATAGACCAGGAGCTACGTGTAGTGGTGAAGAATATTCTTCACCTACCCCAGGCAAACACGAAAGTCTGGTAAAAGAGACGGGGGACTTGCCATCCCGAGGTTGGAGTGGCTCGCCACCTCAGCAATGCAAGCTCTAACCACGGGCGGCTCGCTCTCAATGCCCGGATAGCTTGCCCAGTTACTAGGGAGCGACTGACCAGCTATGTTAGAACGCAGAAGGTTGAGCTTGACAGGTGGAAACGCATTGGCTCTCAAGGGAAGTCTGCAGCGGCCTTTGCCGACTCAAAAATTGGTAACGCATGGCTCAGGAACCCTCGTTGCTCAAACCATGTCGTATGATTACAGCCCACAAATGAGAAGCAACTCGTGTGCTGACAGGGCGGCCATGAGTAGAGCGACCACAATTCCGGGTTCTAAATGTCGGCAATGTGGTTCGCAGGTGGAGATACTGGGGCACATGTTGTAGCAGTGTCGATAGACCAAACCACACAGGATTCGAAGGCACGGATGAGATCAAAAAGTTCATCGTGCAAGAGCTTAAAAAGAAAGGTCCAGAGGTAGCAATAACCGTTGAACCGGAGGTGGCGGCTACCGGAGGCGATAATCTCAAACCTGCCCTGATAATACAAAGCCAGTGTCTTTGTGGTCGATGTAACAGTCCGCGACGAAGATGATAAAAATCTCGCTCAGGGGTACACAAGCAAAGTAGAAAAATATAGCCGCTTGCTACCTCAATTCCAGCAGATGTGGGCAGGACTATCAAAAACCTAAAAAAATAGGAATCTCCCAAAACCATGTGCTTTTAACAATATCGTTAATAGTACTTCGTAGTTCCATTGAGATATACCACGAATACATGGATTACGACGCCCCTCGTGCGCGCTGCGAAGCGCAACCCCATTGGTGATTCAGCAACCTGTGGAAAAACTTCTGGCCATCTAGCCCTACTGCACACTTTCTTTGAAATGTGTAGTCTAATTGTATGCTTTTATTTTATCTATTTATTTATCTAATTATTCATGTATTTATTTTACTCTGTGGTGTCCAGCTCCGGCTATTTTAATCTGTTCTCACCTCACTTTATTGGTGACCACCCCTCTAATTATAGAGGACCCGTTCACCTAATTCTTCCTAAAAGCTTAGATAAGGGTTTCGGCAGGTGGAGCCCCTCTCGACTCACAAGTGAGGAATGCTCATAAGGGCTGGTGTCAAAAAG